GTCATGGCTCAAGGATCACGCCCGGTGAAGAGACGGCGGTCCCAGCACCGGCAGAGACGCGCTGCAGCATCAGCAGCAGCAGAAGCAGCAACACGTGCACAGAAAGAGGCAGAAGAGGCTGCAACGAGGGAGAGAGAGAGAGCGGCAGAAGAAGCAGCATGGGAACTGCCTACGTGGCGGAAGGGCAAAGACAGAGCAACAGTAGAGGACACCACCGAGAGTGGCAGTGGCAGTGATGACCGTGGCAGTGATAGAGATAGTGATAGTAGCAGCGGCAGTGAGTGAGTGACTCTTCAAACAGAAATATTTTCTATGTTCTACGTTAAGACTAATGTGTAGGCTAGGGCTTCACTGTATTTAGGCTAGGATTTACTGTATGTAGGTCTAACTAGTTTCATCTGAAAATGTAGACAAATGTTCAATATTCGTCTGAAATGTCAGACTTAGCTACAGGTTTCGTCTGAGCATCAGACAAGGGGTCAGCACTTCGTATTCTAGCCAGACGAGTCATTTGACTAAAGTTATCCCTGGTCCAGATTCATTTTGTCTGCGTCACTTCGAGTAATTTCTGACTCTTCGACTCCGACCTCGGTATTGTGTGCTTCGTTTGCTGCTGTCATGAGTGCATAGTATTCTTTCTTAATTTACCATTCGTAATAGCAAGCAATCATGCGAAGGAGATGAAAAACCCCGGGCAAAAAAAAAACAAGAGGCGACGAAATCGTCTTAGGGTTGCAAACCATTTTGCAAAAGTACATTAACATGTACAACTTCTAAAGAAACAACTTTCAAAGAGTACAAAACTAGAAAATTTCTATGTTTTTTTTTTGCTGTATCAAAGGATATGGAACATTCCAAAATCGAATTGAAGACCTTTCGGCCCCACGCGCAATTTCTAACGACTGTGCCACCGAGATGACATCACTATTTGTTTTTAATTTACTTCCAATTTTTGTGCGACGAATTGTCAACTGCCTTAGGGTTTCAACGTTTCTTTTTTCCTCCATCCCTCCCACTCGCCAGTGGGGCCTAGTTTCTGATATGAGCCAGCTACTCACGTTCCATCTACTGCAATCACTGAAAGGTGAGAAGACCCCTAGCTATCAACTAGAGACTATGTTAGACGATTTCAAGCTAGACTAAGATCTTTGTTTTGTCGTTTTAATGGAGCGAAAGCTGTTGAAACCTAGGTTCTAGTCTTTTGTAAAGATGCCACCTGTCCTTGTATTCTTAAGATCGTTATTGAGGCTGCATCTTTCCCTATCGCGCTTTTATCTCTCGTGTCAGAATGTGTAGTTTGTCTAGCCTGCAGTGGGGTACTCTATAGTGAGTACGGCCCCTTAGGGTTTCCTATTGTCAGAATCCCAACCACTAGACCATTGGGATAAAAGGGCTTGTTTCAGTAGCGGGTCAGTGCGCCCATAACCCCCCAGGCAAACGCGCCTGTAACCCTTCCCTAGGATCAATCGGGGATCACCAGTGGACCTCTGACACCCCCCCGCACTGGGATGCCCGAAGTGCATACACCGGGATTCGAACCCGAGACCTTCGCTCTGATACCATGTCAGAATCCCAACCACTAGACCATTGGGATAAAAGGGCTTGTTTCAGTAGCGGGTCAGTGCGCCCATAACCCCCCAGGCAAACGCGCCTGTAACCCTTCCCTAGGATCAATCGGGGATCACCAGTGGACCTCTGACACCTATATGTATCCACCTGCTTGCTAGTGAAAGCCCTCCTTTGCCTATTTTCTCTTGCCTAACTAGCTCAAACCCTAGTTATGGCTCCTGCACTGTAACTACTATTCTGACATCTCGCTTACCATGAATCGTTTTCTCTATTTATATGCTATCCGGTTGTTGTTTTTCCCTCTTTTTTCGTTCCAGTCCCATGTTCGTTCCATACTATCTCGTTCATTCTGTTTCTTGAGTTTATGTCTAGTTGTTCCTTCCATTCGAACAATGCCTCATGCAGTAACGTTTCTCTTGGTTTTCGTGACTTTTTTTGCTCTATCCTTTTTTCACCCTTGCTTATATTTTTTTCTCTCTCTCCCTTCCTCTCGGTAGTGGAGCCTGGTTCCTGACATCCGCCCCCTACTTACGCTCCACCTACCACTAAAAGGTGAGAAAACCCTGAGCTATTAACTAGAACTAAGTTACATGATTGAAAGCTAGATTAACATCTTCTTAATGTCGTGTCCTATTCTCTTACTTCTATGGTTGGCCGTTTGCGTTAAGGTTCTTGGCCTTTTGTAGAGACTTCAACTTGTCCTTGATTCATTTCGTCGTTCTTTCTTGGATTCTCTCTACCTTCCTTGCCCACATCTGTATTATCTTCTACTGCTTTCATTTCTTCTCTACTACGACGTTCCCATCAGGGCAAATTTTTGGATTTGACCAACCCTTATTATCAATGTGCCACACGCTCAGAAACCTTATTATCAGTGTGACCCCTAGTAGAAAAAAAATTCCATCAGTGTAAACCAAACTTTCAAAAACCCTGTCGCATCAGTGTATATTATAGAAAAACCCTGTTCATTAATTTTCAACAAAGCATTCAATATACAGAATTCAGTCATCATCATCAGACATGCCACAAGGGTGTGAATCGTGGTCACTTTCCTCCTCTGGCTCTGGTGCTTTCTGTTTCCCCTTCCGATCCGCCGGTGTCGCATGCGCAACAGACTTTGCCGACCGACGGGTCTTCTGCTTGCGCCAGATGTCCACCACGTCTGGCCAGACGTATGGGTACTTGAGCATGTGCAGCGTCATGAGGTCGCCAAGTCGTGCGTCGCAAAGGGAGGTGCGTATCCAGCTCTTGATGATGTTCTGGCGACTGAACCCCCTCTCACACTCCACAGTGCTCAGGGGCAGCACAGCGAGGGCCTGCCAGAGTGTCATGAGGTTTGGATAGCTGCGCCGCCAATCCCGGCTCTTCAACATGCTGTGAAGGCCCTGGTGGAAATCTTCCCTCGCGTGATGGCGCGACATGATGTGGCAGAAACTCCTCAGATCCTTCTTCGCCGCCTTGAAATCGAATCTTGACGGGGAGGTGGTTTGGGGCGGTGGTAGTAGTTGGGGGTGCTTCTCAGCTAATGCGATGTTGTAACGTGCATGCAAGGAACAAATCGAATCAACTGCACGTGTCAATTCTACCCTCACCCGGAAGCAATCCGCCAAACAGCTCATCGTTTGCCGCAAGCCACTCGAGTGTCTTCAAATTGCGCTGGTCTTCTCTGGATGGCCACGATTCAACTTGAAACAGCTTCGCGCCGCCCAACTGCTGCAAGTCCCACATGCGGTACTTCATTCTCGCGACGATTTCCTTCACGAAACCCGTGCACAGCTTCTCGCAGTCTGCAAGCGTGCCCCCAAACTTGTGTTTCTTGATAGGTGTCTCGCTCAGCTCGAACTTGTGTGAAGTCTGCCGCCCCTCTGCGTTGATCCCTTCAACCACTACCGTCCTGTTATCACCTCCATGCTCTTTGATGAACTTGGACAACAGCCTGCTCACCCCACCGCCAAATGTCTCGCCGTACTGGATGTACCTGTGTGTGATGATGGTGATCGCGTGGTCGACTTCCTTGGCCACTTGTGTGATGTCCACCTGCCACACACCAAGCCCGTCGCAGAGGTCAAACACAAAAAGTTTTGACATTACCAAACTTAAACATGTACGCAAACACACTTGCCTTGCGGTGCTGGAAGAAGCGGTTGAGGGAGTTAAGCACGGCAAGAATGTATGCGAGAAAGTACAGACAGAAATGGAATTTGAACGTTTGCACTGTTGCAGCAATCTTGTGCCTGTACTCCACAATCATGATGATTGCCGCCCCGAACACTCTGCATAGCCGCGCTATAGCGTCTCCCCGCGATAGCCATCTGACATTGAACAGTCCTTGGTGTTCGAGGTTTGTCTTGTGCATCTCTTGTTGCAGCTCCTTGAACCTCTCGTACCAAATGTTGGAACGGCAGATGATCTCCCCCACAGCACGCACAGCAGCATCGATCATGTTAAGGTCGGGGAAAGCCTTCACAGCATCCTTGACCACCAAGGCTTCACTGCAGCAAGAGGTGATGTACTTCATCGCGTTAGGTTAAATTCGCACTCATTAAAGCAGAGCTTACCGATGCGCTACGTAGTGACATCCGCCGATGCCGGACACCCGCTTGATGTCCACGCCAATCGACTCCAGGTGGCTTGTGAGCACGGTGAACAGCGAGGACGCATCGCATTTTTGGACCGTCAGCAGCGCCAAAAATTACGTGACGGACACGCCGTGCTTGAGGAACGTGGCAAACACAATCATGTGTTTGCCACGAGCGCGATCCATGCTCTCGTCGCAGGTCAGGCCGACGAAAGGTGGAGCAAGAAGATGCTACAGCTGCTGCGTTTTCTGGAACTTTGCCATCGCCGACACCATTTCGTTGAATCTGTACCTGCGACAAGCCGAGGAAAAGGTATTTTTAGGAAAAGGTCTTGTAACAACATCAGATGCAGCCAAAGCATTCAACCCAAACATGCATACACTTACTGCGTGATGTACACGCCATAGGACTGGAGCGGGATCAGGCCTCAAGATTGCAGGGCATTTTACCCTGATTAGCCTGTTTTTCAGGGTCGTTTTTATAAACCACACTGTAAATACAGGTTTCAAGGGTTTTACCACCCCGTCACGATCAGGCCTCGTGAAATTTTGACCCTTGTTTTGCAGTTGTTGGTTCTTGTAGCACACTGCCTTGGCCGAGTTCGGTAGTGGCAGCACTCTGACTGAGTTTTTTTTTTCCCTCAGCCATTTGAGAACTGGCTAAGTCCTTGCCGGGAGACACTCACACATACACCAGAACAAGCAACGGATGTGCTCGAAAACTGGCTAAGTCCTTTCCACAGAGACACTCACACATACACCAGAACAAGCGTCGGATGTGCTCGAAAACTGGCTAAGTCCTTTCCACGAAGACATTCACACAGATTGGACCGCTGCAGCCTAGTTTAAATTTTCACCCTGCCATACCAGACCAGAAAATTTTCAACACCCTGCCATTTCTAGGGTACGACGCGGCAGCAACACTGCAGTGGCAGTGTGACTTCGACCTGAAACTTTGATTTGACAGGGTGGCCCAAAACGAATCAAGACCCCTGAGCGGGATGTCCTCGACTCCCTCCTCTGCGAGGAAGCCTATGAGCTTCGGGAACATCGCGATCGGCGCGTCATGGTCGCAGATGAACTCCACGCCGCGCAAGAGACGTGTAAGCCGCGCGCCCTCCTTGTCGGTGTTGGCGAAATCGTCGATCCACTTCTGCTTCTCGATCTCCGCCATGAGCGTCCGCTGCCGTTTCATGGCTTCGTCGTGGCGGCCGCTCAGCTCGTGACAGCGCATCGATCCGAGCTGCAGATCGCGTCCCCCCGTTCCATTCCGTCCGAACTTCGCGTCGTCTTTCCCATGCTCCACGCAAATGCTGCATCGCAGAATGGGCAGGCCCTCCTCGTTCTTGTCAAGCAGCAACCAGTCAAACTTCGGCAGCCACTGCGTGATGTATAGCTGCTGCGCCTTTTGGAATTCATCCTCAGCCTTCTCGGCGTCGGTGAGTTCACGGGACGCACGCTTCGGAGCTTGGACAGGAGCGGGAGGCGGAGTTGGTTTCGTGGGGGGCGTGCCGAACGGTAGGACGGCTTGCGCGTAGCGACGCCGCTTCTTCGAGGCTGGAGACGATGACTCACCGACCTCTGTGACGCTGACAGTGGCGGGAGCACTGTCTGGCGCGACGGCATTAGAAGCAGACGGAGTGTGAACAGGCTCTTTCTCATTGCTGCAAGCAGACGGGTCTGCAGTGCCTACAGGCGGAGGGTTCGCATGCAGCGCTCGCAGAAAATCCAGGCCTGTCCGCGCGGGCAGATCCTTTGGTGGCTCGTCAGCAGCCTCACCATCGTCACTCTCTGCTGGAGCCATGGCTCGCGGAAGAAAGGCCTACGTAGCCTAACTGTGCGTGTGTTCTCTGGTCTTGCAATGTGAAACCCCAAACGTGTTCATGCCCCCAACCCTTGTTGGTGCAACCCTACGGTTTGCACTCGGCTTGTTGTTCGTGTGCGTGAATGTGTGTGTGTATGGAATGGTATGAGGGCATGGGATAATATATATTTCATACTTATAATTGTGTGTGAATGTTGAGTCATGATGTCGAGTGTGTGTGTCGAGTCAATAGCGAGTTATCGCTAGACGCGTGTTACGCGGTCGTTTGTGTCTCGCGCGCGGTTTCTATTTTGTCGTGCGCGGTTTCTATTTTGTCCTGTGTCGAACGTTCGGCGTGTCGCAGGTGTGTGCAGCAGACCCATCAAGAACTCAAGGATGAGTTTGTGATGAAGAGCCCGAGCCTTGGTGTCAAGCCTCAAGTGATTTCGAAGCTTGCCAAAAGGGTACACCTCAAGATATTGAAGATAGTTACATTACTTTGTGTAGTGTAACATTTCACTTGGTGTAGGCCCTAGTGAAGGGTAGTTTCGAGACCCTTCGTGGTTGGGGACAGTGTGGCACTGTTCCACATCACTGTACCTCGGCTCTTGGGGTTTGTAGGAGCTGGGAGTCATTCCCAACTCGTAACTCTTCCTATCTTGTGTTCTAAGACTATAGTGGCTGCCATAGTACCGTTCGTTCAAACCGACGCTGTGTCGTCAATTCTTTATCAAATCGTGCAATCTAAATTGCTAATTGTAGACGACGTGAAGACGCTCCAGATCCAATTTGAATCAAGTCATTTGCAGCTGTGAACAGAACGCTATCAACGTTTGAAGCCGCTGTGCAGAAATCCGTCTGTGCTCTCTATCTTTCGTTTTAGGCACATTCAAGCCTATTGTGACTATAACAAGTGGTATCAGAGCCCCTTGGAGCAGTTTCGACAATGTCTGGACCTGAGGAAAGGGGTGGCAGAGGTGCTGGTGGCAGTGGAGAAGCTCAAGCTCAAGGCCAACCCCGTGATTCAGCCATGGCGCCCATGCAACCAAGTCTTGGCCCACCTAGGGATGAGCCTAGGGTTTTTGGGCTTGACAAGTTCAACGGTGACAACTTTGCTGAATGGTCCTTCAAGATGGAGAACATCTTTGACCACTATGACCTGCTGGAGGTGATGGAAGGAACGGAGAAGGGCCCCGAGAACGACCCGGAGAAGAGCCCGTGGGTGCGGAAGAGCGCACAAGGCTATCTCTTACTTGGGCAAGCGTTGGGGAGCAGTCAGATCCGTCACATCAAGTCATTCCAGCGTGAACCAGAGAAAGGACCAAAGGCATGGGCTGCTCTCAAGGGTGTACATGCTCCTGCAACAGCGGCGGTAGCGGTGGTGTTGGAACGGCAAATGGCGGCACTACGAATTGAAGAAGACGAAGCGGTTGAAGAAGGGGTGCAGAAATTCTTCGACTTGTTGACGCGGCTTGAGGGAGCTGATTTGAACTACAGTGAGCTCCAAAAGAAGACCAAGTTGCTGGCCTTACTCCCAGAGTCATGGTCCTCGCTCATCATCAACCTTAATCGCGACTTGCCCCGCCTCTCGCTTGAAGACGTGAAGCGAGCTATCCTTCAAGAGGATTTCCGCCGCCGTGAGTTGGCGAGTGCGGATGGCGCTGGGGCAGCGAGCATCGGTCGTGGATATGGTCGAGGAAGAGGCAGAGGACAAGGGGGAGCAAGGTTTGGTGGCAGCAACTTCGGCGGAGGTCGCAGGAGTGGCGGTTACGGCAGCGACGACAAGAGCTACGGACGCGGTCGCGGCCGATTCGACGGCGAGTGTCACTATTGCCACAAGAGCGGACACATGTGGCGCGACTGCTACAAACTCCCTGATGGTTGGACCCCTGCTCAAGGCCAAGAGGGTAGAGGAGCAGGAGGAGGGAGAGGACGAGGCCGTGGAGGCCGTGGCGGTCGCGGTGGCGGAGCTGCAAACATGAAGAGCGGAGACAACGACAAGGACCCGAGCGACGATCGATACCCGGGTCTATTCTACTTCGTGTCGACGCAAGTACCGGCTGGTCCAGAGAAGGATGAAGGCTTTGAGGAGCCAGCAGCTGTGGGGAAGGTGACCCTACACCCCCTGGACTATTGGGTGATTGATAGTGGCGCTACCTATAGCATGACACCTCGCCCGGACTTGCTCACCGAACTCGAGCCGTCACCGGTGAAGCATGTCACATCGGCTTTGGGGCAGCGAGCAGAGGTGAAAGGCATGGGCAAGGCCATGTTCAAGGGTGCTGATGGGAAGATGGTGGGCCTCAAGAACGTGCTTTGGGTGCCCAGCCTTGCTGCAAACCTGATTTCCGTGCGGCGGTTGGCAAAGGCCGGCATGGACACGAACTCGAAGGGAGCCAAGACCTACACCGCAAGGCTTGGCGATCGAATTCTTTGGGACCTTCATGAGGACAGGGATGTCTACAACGAGATGTGGCAGATCCCAGTGGTCCCTATGCCTAAGGAGAGGCAAGTGGCAGCAAGCATCAGCACCAAGGATGGAGCGGTCGGTAGCGACGATGGCGCGAACGGTCGCGCTAAGGAGAATGAGCTCAAGAAGAGCAAACCTGGAGGGACCAGCAAGTTCAGTGAACCTAAGGAGAGTGGTGCAGCAACCAAGGAGCAGCAAAAGGGTGAGGAGAACCCAGAGGCAGCAGCGGAGGAGGACTACGGAGAGAGTATGTGGGGCGCTATTGCGAGCGCGGCATTCTCCAATCCAACTTCGGCTACGGGGGAGTGTGATTGGCTCACCTTGCATCGGCGCATGGGGCATGTGGCCCTGCCCATCTTGCAGCAGCTAGTGAAGAATGAGATGGTTGCTGGCATACGTGTGAAGGGGGAGCCCGATGAGGTGCTTGGCGGCCCGACGTGCATTCAAGCCAAGTTCACCCGGTTTCCGTTCCCTAGTTCGGAGGCAACGGCAAAGGCACCGCTTGATGAGGTGGTGATGGACGTGGTGGGCCCCCTGAAGCTTGGAGCTGCTGGAGCTGAGTATTTTCTCACCATTGTCGACGTCTACACCCGCATGACTTGGGTGTACGTGCTGGCCAAGAAGAGCGACGTGGCTGAAACGTTGAAGACGGATTGGTTCCCGATGGTGGAGCGGCAACAAGACCGTCTAGTCAAGTCAATCCGCACCGATCGAGGGGGAGAGTTCCTGAGCAAGGAGTTTGGGTTGTGGCTGAAGAAGAATGGTATTCGGCACTCCCTCACCATGCCATACTCCCCTGCAATGAACGGCATCGCCGAGCGAGCGAACCGCACAATCACGGAGGCGGCACGCGGGTTGCTCATTGAAGCCGGGCTACCCGACTATTTCTGGCCTGATGCGGTGCGGAGCGCGTGTGTGGCCAAGAACAGAGCCTTGACTCATGTGGGAGCAGACAAATGGGTGCCCTATGTGGAGTGGCTAGGAAGGAAGCCAAAGGTGGATATGCTTCGGGTGTTCGGGTCCATGTGCATGGCGCTCGTGCCTAAGCATCTTCGGCACAACAAGCTTGGTGCCAAGGCGGTGTGGGCCGTGCACTTGGGCATGGCTCAAAACAGCAAGGGATGGCTTCTTTGGGACCCATTCACCAAGAAGTTCTTGGTGAGCAGGGACTGCAAGTTCATGGAGAACTTCATGTACAAGGATTGGAAGGCGGAGAATGAGGCGAAGATAGGCGTGCGGTTTGGGGAGGTGAAGAGTTCCGGTTTGGAGCATGTGGAGCTGCCTTTGGAACTGAGCAGCGGCAGCACAACCACAAGGCAATCCTCCCTTGTGAATGGGGGAGAGGAGGCCAATGATGCAGAGGAAGAAGAGGAGGAGGTGCAGCAAGTGAGCGAGCGTGCACCGTCACTCCCTTCCCGTACTACGAGTGCTCCACGGATTCGAGCCACACCGCAGCAACGCCAAGGCCTTCAAGTCCCTGCAGCTGAGGAGGAAGGAAGGGGGAAGAGGAGAGTTCAACCCCCTAATAGGCTGACCTATGATGCGCCGGGAAAGCAGGGCAAGACAGCCCTGGCCGGAGCGGCAATGATGGTCGGAGACGACGAGGAGAGTGACTACGAGGAGTGTGCCTTCGCGTTCTTCTCTCCGGTGGAGATGCCGGGAGAACCAGCAACTCTCAAGGAGGCTTTGGAGAGTAGTGATGCTGAGGAGTGGAAGAAGGCCATGGAGAGTGAGCTGAAGAGCATCGAGGAGAATGACACGTTTGAATTGGTGGAGCTACCGGAGGGGCGTACGGCGATAACGTCCAAGTGGCTCTTCAAAATCAAGTCGGATGCCGACGGCAAGATCGAGCGCTACAAGTCTAGGCTTGTAGCCAAGGGGTACCAGTAGAAGGAGAAGGTGGACTTCAAGGAGCTGTTTGCCCCTGTGGTGAAGCCGACGACGCTGCGAACCCTATTCGCGGGAGCCGCCATCAAAGGATGGGTAGTAAAACAAATGGACATCGTAACGGCATTCCTTAACGGCATCCTTGAGGAGGAGATTTTTATGGCGCAGCCAGAGGGGTTTGATGATGGTAGTGGCAGAGTGTGGAAGCTGAAGAAGGCCCTCTATGGGCTGAAGCAGGCCCCTAGGCAATGGTACATGAAGCTGCGCGAAGTGTTGGAGGGGATCGGCTTCACTCCCTCAACGGCCGATCACTCCTTGTTCATGCTTGGCGAGGGGGAGCAGAGGAGTTTCATGGTGGTTTATGTGGATGACATCCTCATTTTCTCACCCTCTTCTGACCTTGTGAAGGAGGTGATGCTGAAGCTTCAAGACAAGTTCAAGTGCAAGGCCCTTGGTGACGTGAGCTTCTACCTTGGGCTCCACATCGAACGAGATGTGGAGAAGCGGTGCATGCGGGTGCATCAACGAAAGTACCTGGAGGCATTGGCTGCCAACTTTGGGCAGAGTGAAGGCCATGTGGCTACACCCTTTCCCTCTGGGTTCAAGTGTATGAAGGGACCAGAGGAGGAGAGCGTTGGTGAAG